AAATTCCAATAAGACTGCAATGTGGTGAATAAAGTAACCGAATTTGAATTGGCAAGTCTGTCCCATACATATTCAACTGAGGAGGGAGACGCAGTGCGCAAAACTTTTGGCATTCTCACTTGCATACAAAAAATGAAAGTGCCGCGAACGAGAAATGGTGCATTAGCTGTGTCGTCTGACCTATTTAGCAGCCATCACCTCTCATGTTTAACATAACTTCATGTTACTCTTATTTTTCTCGGAAAGACATGAAATAGTACCCACTTCTGCACGATAAGTAAAGCAGATAAGTTTCGACGTTTGCATTAAAGTTATCATTAGGACGTAGTTTGTTTAACTAAACACAGATTCCTCTCTAAATACTGTTGATTACACAAAATTCTTTATATACACAAGTAATAAAAAATATGTAGGCTTGATTAGGATGAACTGATGAAATGACTGTTAGAATTTTACAAAAGCGGAGCTGTATATTGCTAAAATACTTTCATACTTAGTACTTATAAGACGCTCGTATAACCTACCCTATCAACTTAGGTAGTACCTATAAGAAAGCTCGTATACATAAATTTTGTTTTCTACGCATAAGATAAAGATACGGTTTGAGTTATACCACCGACAACCAGCCAACGGGTAGCGATAACTTTATCAAGGTCTCAAGATAACGCTGAACTTTTCCTAGAAACTGATTAATGTTTTAATATTTTAATTAGTTGCTATATTAACTGCTTATTTTCTTCTATAAAACTTACTTACATTAGCAAATTACCAGACATGTCTTATAAAATGTAGAAAGAAAGAATTTTACGAAGAAGATAGTATAAGGCTTTCGTAATTTATGTATTTTATACATATACTTAGGTAATTTGTGTAGATGTAGTGAAGATAGCAATTTATTTTATGTTTCAAATTTTAAAGCATGTCAATAAGAAGGGACCGAACCAACAATTGTTTTATGGTTCTCAAACTCTATAGTTAGTACCTACCTTGCCCACTAACCACGTCGATTATTACCTTTATTGCCACAGGCCACGGAGTACAAAGAGGTACGTAGAGGTACGTCCATATATGAAAAAAGGAACTTCAGCTTAGATGTTCAGGAACTGTAATTAAAAATCGTGTTCGTTTTTTGCTGTACAGTGTTCACATAGAGCCCTAAAGAGATCTGTGAAAGCTTCTATGCTCTTAGTAAATTATATATTAATGGAAAATATCTGATAACTTTTCAAAGAAACATTTTCATGTTTGAAACGTTTAATTGCTATTCACGTTTCTGTTAAGATAAGCAGAATTATTTTAATCAAAGATCTTTTACTTTGTCCGTTATGTTTTAAGTAATCGAACATGTACCGCGTTCTGCGCTCTGATTGGTTGGTTCATTGGAGCCGGCCAATCAGAGGCACAAACCGATTACACTTTTCGATTACTTTGAATGCAAAACAAAATAATACTAAGCCTTTAGTTATGTAATTAAAAAAATGAGAATCCAAAACACTACATAATTTTTGAGGACCGTACAATCAAGCCAAGTTATTTGGTCTACAAATAAGAAAATAGAAATTGATTTTATTTAGAGACATGCGTAAAGATTGAAGAAGACATTCGTTAAAAACCATATACCTACATATGTAATTTGGTGTTACAATAGTTACTGTTTCAGTACTGGGCCAATTATTATTTTCTTGTCTGTACATTACATTTTTTATGGTATAAGCTGGTAAACGAGCAGACGGATCATCTGATGATAAGCAATCGGCTTTGGCTATGGACACCTGGAACACCGGAGGCGTAACAAGTGCGTTACTCCTAAATTTGTTTTTAGTTAAATTCCTAATCGCTTTTTGGGGATTAGGAGTTTGAGGATCGTTGGGGATTCAGGCATCGGAGAGATTGGGGAAGGGGAGGGGTGGTAATTGGCCCTTCGTTAACCTCATTCACACGATGAAACACAACGCAAGCTGTTGCTTCACGTGGATTTTCAGTGAGGCCGTGGTATCACTTTGGTCGAGCCGGCCCAGCACCAGGCAGGCACCAGCAAGTGGAGTCTTAAGAGACCAAATATGTTTTTCTACAATGAAAAAAGTGTTCAATAATACAACTTTAGAGCATTTAAACTGGAAGTACCGTGACATGAAAGTAGGACAAACAACTGGTTATTATCTAATTAAACATAGATGATTGTAATTGACACCAGCAATTACTTAAAATGATACTACATTTTAGTCAAATTATTGACGTTATTTAAGTGTGGGAGACTCAGACTTCGGCACGAATGGGCCGGCTCGACCGGAGTGATACCACGGCTTCACAGAAAACCGACGTGAAACAACGCTTGCGTCGTGTGAGCGAGGATACCGAAACCTCAAATTCCGAAACCCCAAAAGACACGTAACGCACTTGTAACACCTTTAGGTTTCGGGTGTCATGGGCAAAGGCGGTTGCTTACCATCAGGTGATCCGTATGCTCTTTTACCGGAATATTCCATAAAAAAAAATCATACAGGCCAGGAATCGGATACTCGAATTACAAATTTATCTCCTCTCATCTTTGAAAATTGCTTTTAAATTATTTGTCCATATTTCATATAAAAAAAACCTTCAGTAGGTTCCTCTCCTGTGTTGTAGTAACAAAAAATATACACCAGACGTGAAAAACATAGTTATTCAGAAAAGAAATGTTAATCCGTTAGCAAATGGAACCTATGACATGTTGCTCAACAACTGATCGTCAAGTCACTCCACCCATCAAGAAATTGACACAAACAAGAACCTTCTGTATGTTTCTCTTTACGATTCATTCGGGGGTCATAATTAGGTTCACAGAATCGTCTTAGACTACCATTTAGGTTGGGCTCGCTGCCATCGCAGCGGTAAGTCCCCTCTTTGAGGAGTGGCTTGAGAGACGCTACGGCGTCCTCACCTACCGCCTGACGCAGGTCCTCACCGGACATGGAAGTTTCGGGAGGTACCTGTGTCTGATGGGGCGGGAGGAAACGCCCGGGTGTCATCACTGCGAGGGCCGCCCTGAGGACACGGTGGAACACACGGTGGGAGAATGCCCTTCGTGGGCTGAGCACCGCCGTGTCCTCAGGGAAGTGATCGGCGATGGCGACCTCTCGCGTCCGGGCCTAGTGCAGGCCATGATGCGGAGCGAGGGGGATTGGGATGCCGTCTCCTCCTTTTGCGAAGCAGTCATGCTAGCTAAGGAGGAGGCGGGACGCGTGAGGCAGCGAAGCGCTGCCTCCTCGCAACCCAGCCATCGCGAAGGACACACCGGGCGTCGGGGATCGCGGGACGATCTCCGGCCACCGTAAGCGCGGGCCTGCGGACGGCGAGCATGGGTGGCTCCCCGTCCGACCAGAAACAGACCCGAGCGTACGGCGCGTCGCGTTCCGCGCGCGCCTCAAAGAGCCATCAGACCACCACAGATGGGGCCCAATAGGGCCGATGCCGATTCGGAGTCGCGGAGAACCTAACGGGTAACCGGGGCTCCGGCTCGACGTGCAGGAGAAGGAACGGGGTGGTTTTTAGTCAGTAAGAGTCTGACACTCCCTCCCGCCTCACCCAGGCGGGGGCAGTCATTCGATGATTTTCCCCCCTTAAAAAAAAAAAAAAAAAAAAAAAAAAAGACTACCATTTAGGTAGGTAAAGGTGAATAAATATAACATGAACCCTCTTATTTCCTAAAGATGTAAGCAGATATACACATACTATGTATACAATGCAACTCTCATTTTTACTCATAATGTTGTTAGAAACACGTAATGAGAGGTAATGTAACTAAAACATTTCCAACAGTAGTAGATATGTATTCTCGACTGAGAATCGTACCCCATAGCAATTACCAATGTGCCAACACCCAGAGTATTTATTTTTAAAAACAAAATCTTATTTTCTACGATGACTTATCGCTGAAAATATCATAATAATTTTCTAAACATTTAATAAGAAGACCTCTCCATGCACCAATTTCAAATTCTACTACGAAGCATAATTTCGGCATCTAAAGTCCTTAAATTCCCCAATCCGCTGATCAAGGACTTTGTGCCAAATACTCCTATTTGCGTCTGTACTAACAAAACCGTGATAAATAGACATTACTTATTACAGAATTATATCTATTATAGTGTTAAAGATAAGTAAATATTTATGACTATCTCGCTATCATCCATTTTGACTTAATATAAACAGATTGTCCACGACAGATTGAGAGCTACTTGACTCCCTTCTTAGAATAAAGACGCTCTTAAAAGCCCATCTTATCTTACACATTGTTTCATAATAGATAATAGAATTTATAGCTGATAAATTGTTTGAGGACAACGTTTTATGAATTAATCTGTCGAGTTTCGTTCAGGAATTTCAATGAGGATCATCTTCTAAGTTCAATGTTCAAGAAAATGTTAGTCGATGTTTTGTATATAAATAAAATTGTGTTTGATACATATTTTAATAAAATAGAATTATTTGTAAGCGAAAGACAATTCTAAAGTTTCAATGAAAAATAATGTACTATAAATATATTCAAACATCTGAAGGCTTTTCGTGAGAAGATATCTCATACTATAAAGAACACATGCCACTCACAGTTTAGTGTGAGGCAGTTCAAATAACAGCTCCGTTCTAGATCAAAACTCGACGGTTACCGGAGCCGAATTCAATAAGTACGAACACAGGAATAAATTAGACTGAAACCCAAAATATAGAACGCAGATCTATGTTGATTTTTCACAGTAGTTTATATACTTTTCCCCACATATCAATTATATTAATTTTATAAACTTCATAAAAACACGTTATTTTCCAACTTTTCTTTTCCTATTCCTTATTAATAACTTATAAACCAAGCAAGAAAAACTGTTACTAAGGAAATTACCGCTTATTTATTATTTACACGTCCTCGGAATTGTTTACTTAGCGAGTGAATGGAAAAGTACAATAATCCCACTTCCAGCTACTAGCTACATACAAGATTCCCTTAACACGAGATGTGTACTCACCAAACATCACGTTCTTACATACAAACATCTATACTGTCCGTATTGGCACTCAAAATGTCAAACAAACACAATCATATGTTCACTCACTTTCCACTTAAATGTGCGTTTTAAAAAATAGGACTACTTTTAAATCCACACGTGAGCTCACTGACAGTTCCGAGTGAAGTTTATTATTTTTTTATTTTCACGTGACTTACGTAAGTACGCACGCGGTGTGAGCGGCGGGCGGCTGGAGTCGCGCGCGTGCCTTGCCTCGCGCCGAATGCCACTGAGCCAGGCTCGGCTACTAGCCACGCACCGCGCATGCCTCCATCACAATAAGCCCGAGCTCACACGAACATCTAAAGAGCTTGCACATCCCGTGAAACTGATTTTTATTTAAACAACAACTCTATCGGCGACTGAATCCGCAATGTTTTATGTAGCAGTTAGCTTTGCTGAATTTGGAATATTGAGTTTTCCGCGAGACGCGTAGTCGTGGTTTGGTATTTACTTTTCTGTATCATGTGGACATTTCCTTAGAGATTCACATTTTAACTATTCATGAACGGTTGGTCCTATCTTTGCCGCGCCGATAACCAGTCGAGTGATAGCTTCCTTATCGTATTTTTAGGGCGGTCATCGGTCCTTCAGTTAAACATTAACCAGCACCTTTATACTTTATTGGGTCACTACTTCATGCTCAGATGGTTGAATCAATTATGAATGGAAAGGTGTAACAAGCTTTTTTATTGAGAATTGAAAATGCTTCATTTGTTAAGTCTCAGGATACCTCTGTAACGAGATGAGCTCGTCTCTGTTCTGAGACCCGGTAACACAATATGCTAGAAATTGGAGCATCCCTGCATTATAAAGAGAGCTCTTAAGGACCCAATTTAACATGTAAAATGTTTTTTATTTAAGTAGCTATCGTATATTTTAATAAGATTTGTTGCCTGTATAATGTCGGCACTTACTTACGTACGTTAAGGAGGCTCTTGAACTCTTAGATTTTGTCTATGCCTACATAATAATATCTTTTTTCGGGGCACAAAAGGAGATGGAATTTTTTAGAATTATTTTGCCAATATTTTTACAGTTTACAGACTATCATATATTACTGTGTGACTCAATAAACCCCGCACATTGGTTGAATGATGAGCGTGTAAACAATATTGTCACCGTGTAGTTGATGTGTACATATGTGTTTACAAGCTCATTGCGACCGACACACGTGATCCGAATTAAGTGAGAGCCGACCCGTTTTTACACGGAACCACGACGACCCCAACTATATGTCTAAACAACGAACAAATTATTATTTATTATAATTTTAATAGAAAACCGTGAATATGTCGTGTTTATATTTATGGATACTTTTTAGAGTAGAGATTCTTGTCGCAGAGGACTTAACGGGTAACCGTGGCCCCGGCTCGATGTGCAGGAGAAGGAACGAGGTGGTTTTTAGTCAGAAAGAGTCTGACACTTCCTCCCGCCTCACCCAGGCGGGAGCAATGAATCGATGATTTTCGCCCCTTAAAAAAAATAATAATAAGAGTAGTGATTCTTATGTATATTAAATATTATAAACTAGCTTCTGCCCGCGATTTCGCCCGCATTCTCGCGGGGCAAAAGGTAAGCTATGTGTTATTTCACTCCATGATCTATCCGTGTTTCAAATTTCAACCCTTCAGCCGTTTTGACATGATTGAATAACAAACACAGACATAGATACACAAACTTTCGAATTTATAATATTAGTAAGATTAAAGTTTGTACTACTCGGGTAAAAATAATAAAAGCCTTGAATAATTAAAAAAAAATAACATCAAATCACCTAATGGTATTATGGCGTTAGACAAAAAAGTAATTTAAAAAAACTCAATAGTATATATCCACTTCGTCGCGAACAAAAATTACCAAGTCAGTGGAGGAAAGCTGCTCCCCTTATGCGATAAGCTACCAACTAGTAATCTTGATATTTCGCTAGCTACAGTAACTGTACTGTTGTCTGAAAGTAATTAAATCCAGATAATTAAAACTTCTAACAGATAATCAAACTTATTAGGTAACGAATATTTTCCGTTTAAGAGATGTTTCTTCGGAATATTCTTTCATTGAAATCAGTCGAACCGTTTCGACATGACACGTTTTTCAAATTAGCTAAATTGGTTAATGCATTGTCACAAAAATAGACGTATTTTTACTTACATTCGTGAGATAGTAACGCAAGTTTAATTAAAACCTTGTAATATTTCATTCTAAACGTTTTTAAAAGCAATTTGCTCTTAATATCACGTACTGCGAAGCGACGTGCTAACCATAATCAGAGTGACGCATCTGAAACCAAAACCCGGACACTTACTGCAGGAAATGACTGCACAGTGGGTGCGGTGGCTGGGCAACTGGCTGCCACGCAACGTTTCGCGGGTTCGATTCCCATACGGAACAACTCTTTCTGTGATCCACAGATTGTCGTTCCGGGTCTGGCTTTTCCTGTGCCATAACACAGGAAAAAGTCCAGGATAAAGTCCTAGGGTGGGGCTACGTTTTTTTTAAAAAAAGATCTTGCTATGCAGAATTATTTTAAGATGTATGGTTGAAAATCAGTTACCTACTGGAAATTAATCTGGTGTCGTTGATATCGAAATATTATGAAGTTTCTATTTGAAACAAAATATAATTAATATAAATAAAATGTTTTAACCTTTACAGCAGTTAGAAAAAGTTCTAATAATAAGAACGCCTTTTTAATATAATAGCTGGATTAATCATAGATCCTAAACATGCAACCAAATACCTTCTACGTCATATTTACGGTAAGTCAATATGGATATAACTCGGTGAAGTCTCTGTTCCCATTCATATTTCGCTCGCATTAATTAACATCCAAACATTCAATGGATTCATATTGCAAGAGATTGTAGTTTCGGTTCGATTTTCCGTCAAAATGTCTAGACCTTAAACTATTTGGATTTAACAGTAACTGAAATTCATGGCACTAGCTACATTAAGCATTTCATGAATCAATGAACACAATACGATACTATGAAAGTGTTCCATCGGAGCATTCTGATTTTGAACAAGTATTTTGTTACATAGTAAATATTTTAGTTAAAATGTTGTCTTCAAAAACCAACACAGGACAACCACACACGATTTTAATATGAAGTGTATGTTCTCTATTAGTCTCTATAAATAACTAGCAGCCCGTCCCGGCTTCGTACGGGGTAGAAAATTATTTATTTTTGGAAATTTGGATTGGTGTAGTGACATAACTACAATAGTTGGACATATGCTACCGTGGAATTTTTTGTAGACATTATGATATTCTTCGATATTGTTGTACATTATTTTTTTTCTATCGCTAATAGTTTCGGCAGCGCATTCGACGAAAGACATTTTAAGACTCATTTTTCTACACCTTCGGTTACATTGTTCAAATTTTACCAAGGGTCCCTAATTTTTTTCAAAATGAAATGAAACCTATGTCAAATTGGAAGAATTCATTCTATTGGTGAAATATTTTTTTAAATCGTCCCAGTACTTTTGAGCCTATTTATTACAAACATACAAAAATAGGTACAAATCTTTCCACTTTATAATATTAGTATAGAATATTGCCCATTGTATACATACCAGTAAAATATGAGTAATTATCAATCTTCATCATACTGATACATGATTTTGTGGTTCACTTACATAGATGACTTGAAATAAATGATGAATTTAATTAAGCTACATCAAAATACACGAGCGTAACAGAGTGCTACGATCTGCTACGCCGTAGCACATTCTACGGTTATAGTAAAAAATTTAATCAAAACTTTGATAGTATACTTCTGGTTATTTTACAAAGCCTTTTAATGAGTCATTAATTTTTATGATATTATTATTTGTCAATAATTATACCTACTATTATTACAAAATATATTTTCCATTAAGAATATACATATATACAGTAAAACAATGGTTAGATGTCAAAAAACCATCAGTAATTAACCATTTTAATTAAGTTTACTTATAAGGGATTAATAAAAGTACAAAAAGATGTCAGTAGAAGACCCCAGTCGAAATTACTTCGGCCCTATTAGTGACATATCAAAAAAGGGTCTAATTAAAAGTACCCACAATTGGCGAACATGCATGAAGAGATTGATTAATGTGGAAGAAGCGAAAGAAGTATGTCAGGGGACTTTTGGGGTTCCATTGTCCCTGTTCAATGGGAGACAAATGTTATATGTGTATGTTGTGGAAGATTGAGATATATACAAAGAAAATTTAATATTACGCATGTGTGTAATGCATATTATTAAATTTTCTTTTAAACAAAAACTGCGGAACAGTAATTCATTTCGAGTATTAATAACAAATATGTGTTTAATATTTATTACTTTAACTTCTGCTATTTCAGTGTATGTGCAATTAAGTTAAAAAATATATATCAAGTGTTTTATATAAATGTGTAATGTTCATTACTAACACCTAATTAAGTGTACCAGATTCAGTATCATAAAATGAAGTGTTGAATGTGGGTTGTCTGTAACGCAACAAAGTGGTTGATATAATTTTAGGGCTGGGCAACGGTGCGGCGGCACCGATGCTGAAAATAGCCGTAATCAATAGAAACAGCGCGCATTATTTAGTATCCGACGCCCTGGCCCTCCCTGGCCGTATCTAAGCGAATAATACGGTAAACTTCAGTCCATTATAAACACCACCGGTTTTTATCTTATTTGCTTTCCATTCCACAGAATAATGTTGTGTAAATACCTTTTGGTTATGAGTAATGTAATAATTTTTCCTGTTCAGATTTTCGACTGCATTGTTGAAATGTTTTTTTTTTATTTATGCTCATAGGTAGATTTATTAGATCTGTATGTCATATAACAATGAACCATTCTGACAAACTTTAATGCTGTATCTCAATATACTTTTACTCAATTGACACATGTCCCAGATCCTTACAAAGAACCATATCGATTTCTCAAGGAGTTAAGATGCACAGTTGCATAATACAAACAACATTTTTGAAGAAACAAACAGTAGCATACAGAACATTCGTACAAAATGTACAATAAACAACATTTGAGTCGATACACAAAATTTTAAATTCAGTGTAAAATATTCGGTGCACTCAACGACATTGTTAGAATTTATTGGCAGAGCGAGCGGAGGAAGACGCCAGCGCATAGTTATGGACCGCGGTCTTCCCCACA